TTAGAGTTATGTTTAGGCTGGGCTTGAAACTAGTTAACTTAGACTTGGAGACAAGCAGGACGGAGAAATACCTCAAAAAAATATGCCCCCCCAGGTGATCAATGGCTCCAACAGTTTTATAGTGTTTATGTGCAGCTTTTGGATATAAAACCCTCTTATAAATTATCAAGGTTTCAAGGAATTCTTGCCTTTTGATTAAAAATGTGTGATAATGACCAATAAATAACAAAGATTTCAAATGTCAAATGCTTCAAAATATTTTTGTAAGTTTCTAGCAATCAAAAACTAAGACAAAAATAGAAACACACAATTATTATTGCCAGCACAATTAGCTTCCCCAGCTAACAGTCCAGGCTGCAGGAAAGAAGTTTTGAACCAAGTGGAAGGATCGTGAGTGGTAATAAAATTAAATAAAGTGATTTTCGGAGAGATTCGAAGGTCAGAGCGTGTTTACAAAAACTCATGAAAATATAAAAAAGAAAAGCACGTTTGTAGCTTAGTCTTATTGGAAAACTTCTGCCTCGGACTTAAAAGTTCCTGGTAATAATGATGTAAACCGTAGGATGGTTCAGCTGTCACCAGATGGCCCTCTTGGAAGGCTTACAGGCTCTTTGCAGCCACTACCAGAATGCTATAAGCAGATGATGAACATTCCCCGCGAGCGTTGTTTGTTTTCACTGTGCCATGTCTGGTGCAGATCTGGAGGTGGGTCATTTGGCAAACAAGCCCTAGGAGGGGGAGGAGAAGGACAAACGGAAGGGGCCAGCAAAAGAGAAGGCAAGATATATAGGAGGAGGAGCAAACGAATGGGCGTGGAGGATCCCAGCTGTTAGATATGGGGCGTTGTCTGAGAAAGGGACAAAAGAGTGGGAGAGGCCCGGCCAGTGAAAGTACCCATCGACCAGTAAGTGGGCCCCCTCATAAGCGGCGGCCCATTCAGGTTGCCTTCCTTTTATGGCCAAATCTGCCCTGTTAGATCCTCTTGGATATTTTTATGAGTATTGTGTGGACGGAAAAAGCCTATATTCTCCTGGGGCTTGTGTGAATTGGTAGCGGAAATGTGAGTTTTCTAGCCAGAGGAATTCATCTGATAAGAGTAGGCTCAAAATGAGTCATTGGTCCTGGGTGAAAAAAGGAGCAAAAAACATAATCCAGGCAGTCCTAGAAAAGGGTAGCAAGGGCATGAATATGTAGATCTGTTCTCAGTATTACGCGCCTGATATTTATCTAAAGCTAAAATAAAGTATGAAACAGCCGCCACTCAGCGTAACCCGCAAAAACAAAGAGGCCATCATCCGCTCTAGTATGGGACAGAATATGACGGGAAGCATTTCGGTAACCGGGCCAGCCGGGCACTGGGGAGTCGACGTTATGGGGGACCATTCATTACTGGCCACTCGGGCGTCAATTTGTCGCGGCAGAACGCGCAAGGAATCTGGGAGGTCCAATTGCACTACCGGCGTAACGTTGCACTCATTTTGCACCTATATCGACACCGGCAAAAATGAAAAACTAAAAATCCAGCAGAGCACGGGTTCTCTGGAACGCGCCCGAAAAACACGAATTCGGATTTGAATAAATTGTGCCTAGCAGGCGGCGGTTGCGACAAACATGTGCAAATTTTCTGGTTTTGGGAAACCGTCCGGAGGAGGATCGCTCAGCGCAAATTCTAGTTGCAGGGCGGGTCTTTAGGATTTCCGGGGAGGAGTTTCCGGGAAGAGTTGGGACTTTAGTTTCGGCCCAAGCCTAAATCCTACTGTCTATAATAAAAATAGTAAGTTGTAGTGTGTGTGTGTATTATTTTGCATACAACCAGTCTGGTAATGACATCCAGTCGTATCTCAATAGCAGAGGAGAATACTGTAGTTATGGTACGTGTTGTATTGCGTAATGGTCATGACACGATTCAGGCACGCACATGAGATTTTAAAATCAGCTGTTCTCGATATTAAAATTAAGTTTTGTAGAAAATCTCGCTCGGCCTCTTTGTTAGGAATCAATTAGCATGCACCGGAAGTGGTGGGAAGCCTATATAATGGGGGAGAGGACGCGTTTTTGATTTTTCTGCATCAGGAATTCAGGTGTTTATGCAGGAGAGTGATACAAGTATAAAGGGTAAGACGGTTGGCCGGGGTTGAGCAAGAGTCGCGAAGCGGCTTTTCAACCTCGGGCACTTTTCTAAATAGCGTATTTGTTTGTTTCTAAATGGCTTCTAACTATCCCTGGAGCATAGAAACTACCCACATTTTAATTAAAAATTTTATTTTAGGTCGAAAATCCTATAGAACCTCTTTTAGGATTACTGGGGTTGAATCTAAAATGGACCACTTTGGACTCCTTTCAAACATTTTTCAAACCTTTTTTGAAAGGTTTTTAATTTTAAATATAGTTAAAATTTACTAAAAAAACAATGTGAAAACACTTTGATATTTGATTACTAGGTCAACCGGGAAAAACTACAGGAAAATTTGGTTCCCCCTGGAAATACTTCCTCTTCCTCCCTGAAATCCTGTAAAGAACCTGCAGGGCAAATTATTGGAATTCTTGGGAAAACAGTTTTAGGCTTTTTTTCGTCATTGGAACAACTACTAAAACACCTCTCAAAAACTGGAACAGAGTCTAGGTAGCTAGGGGTTAAGTTTCGGTCAAAGCGAATCGCCCCTCCTTCCGCCAACAGTCCAGTACAGATCCACCGGTGTCGCTACCGGCACGATTTGGTCGACTTAATATAGGGTGAGCAGGGGACCGGCGTGGGGAACAGCCCCGAATGCGCCGATTCCTGGGGCAGCACCTCTCGATTGTGTCATGGGAATGAGTTGCATTCACTACCCCTCAGAACCACTTATCATATCCAGCATATGGGGAACATTCGATTTGCCTTGATTTCCCGGCGATGCATGCCGGATCAATGGGGGGACAGGTCAGAATATGCCTCATCACGAATCGCGGTACTTGGAATGTTAGCGGGGGGGCCCTTAGTGCACAATATATATTTTATTTGGTTAATTTAAGCGGACTTTTATGAGGTTTTTCGTAAACTGCTGCCTTGAAATGCTAGTAAAAATTGTTTTTGATTAAAGGGCGCCTACTGTAACATTGTTTCCAGTTAGTCACCTGTAATTCCCCGCTAAGAAACCAGATCCATATACATCATTAACCAATGTAAAATGTCAAAATCGCGAGCAATGCCTTAAAAAACCATTTTCGAGGTCGAATTTTGGCGCCGACGGAAGCTGCCAGTAGGCGGAAAGGGGTGAATTTCAAAAAAATAAGGTTTGCCTTCTTGGCTGGGGCTCGCAAAACAGAAAACTAAGCCCCAGCTGGTTGTGTGGTGTGGATCGGTGAGCTGCTAGGCAGCCAGCAGCAACAAAAATCGGCTTCTATTTTTGCCGAAGTGGTAAGATGGTGGGAACGGTATACAGGACATTTCTGGATTTTTAAAAGACGTAAGCGAGAAACCGTGGGGTAGAAAATTTTCCCTCACTCTAAGCTTCCAGCTCCATGTTCATCTGGGAGACGTCCCGCTCCAGCTCCCCTGCGCTCGTCGGAATGCGCGCAATTTGGAGGTCCTGCAGTTCGCGACGGGCTTTTTGCAGTTTTATGGAGACTTTTGTCGAGCTTCCGCGCGCGCTTCAAACCCTCTTGGCGGGTGAGGAGAATGTCGTGTCCAGCTATACAAAAAGTGACGTGAAAAGACAGTTTTATTTAAGTACTCTCGGCCACCGATTCTTCTTGTTGCCCGTCCGCTCGAGCACTTCGCGCTCCAGCTTCAATGAAACAATATTTGGGGAAATATGGTTGTTATTGCCTTTCGGTCAGCCAGCTCTTCCGTTTGGCCCAACTCATCTTTGCTGCCCCTGGTGTGGTCGAACCTGGGCGCCTCCTGCATTTAACAAATTTTTATATTTCTTTGGTCTACCAGATAGGAATATGCCTGCATCTACACAATCTTTTGCCGCCACAGCCGCTTGGGCCTGATTTCCTGGTCGAGGAGTCGCCGTCGTTCCTCGATTTCGGAGAGTAGACGCTGCTTTTCCTATTACAAAGATATTTTATGTAAAAAACGTTTTCATACTTCTTCCCGCATCGAATGATCGTCCTCAATCGCCTCGCGCTCTTCGGCCATTTGCTTTTCTTCCTGGCGGATCTCGTCTCGGCCTTTCTTTTTCCGATTTGCCAGCATGGCTCGCAAACGGTTGATTTCTTCCTAAAATAGGGATTTATATTCAGTTCCCAAAAAATGGTTACATACCTGGAATTCGCGTAGCAACGCATCCTTCGGATCTTCATTGATCTTCGGCTTGTTCTTGATGTTTTTAGCCCTAGACATTGTTGAACTGGGAGGTTTTAGAGAACCTTTACCTGTTCGCGTATCTCAATGTTCCCAACGACTCTTCAAAATTGTACGAGGCTGGCCCGATACAGGCCACCATCACCGTTTTCGAGTTGCCGCCAAGAGAGTCTAAAGGTAAAACAAGAAATAACTATTTTAGCACACTGACCTTGCAATAATCTCGTAAGCTTGCTGTCCCTGTAGGGGATGTGGGTGCTTTTTCCATCGACCAGCGCCGAGATGACGTTGCCGAGGGCGGAGAGGGAGAGGTTGATCTTGGTAGCTTCCTGAAACAAAAATCATATGTGATCACTTTACAATACTTTCGGCATTTATTTGAGTTTACGGTACTTACCTTGAAGCGTTCTCCAGTTGCCCCAGTCTTTGCTTGACGTTCGGAACCGGCCAAATCGACCAAATTCAAACGTCCAACCCTGGAAACGCGGTTTTTGGCGCAACCCTAATTTACCGTATATGCGTCTCGCCGTCGGGCCCAATCTCTGAGCACTCCACCGTAATCATAAAAATGGCGTGCGAGCGACTGCTGTGTTCGTTCATGTTTGTTCGGCTAAATTTGTAATGGATTGAGAAATATTTTAGCTGCTAACCAGGGTTGAAAAACCGCTTCGCGGCTTTTCAACCCTGGCCCCGTCTGATCCGGTGATATTCTGCAATTTGCATATTGTTCACGAATCCCCATGCCGAAAAATGAAAAACATTCCCTTCTGTCCCTTTATATAGGCTTTCGCCACTTCCGGCGCATGCAAATTGCTTCCTAACAAAGAGGGAGACCCGGATTTTCATAAAAACTTAATTTTAATGTCAAAAATAGCACTTTTTGTAAAATCTGATACATGGGCAGTCGTGTCATGCCCATTATCGCACCCTTTGAAGTATCAAACATACCTGTAAATCTCCCTCCCCTATCGAGATACGACTGGAACATAATGACGGAAGTTGCATGCAAAGTGGCACACACACACACACAAACACTATTTTTTTATATATAGTAGGACCAGCCGATTACAGCCGCTTCGCGACTGCAATCGGCTGGACTTCGGGCCACCCTCCATATTCTACACCACCACATTTAATCCCTACCTTACGCTGATGCCTTCATGGCAATAACTACACTGATGGCTTGAGATACCTCCTCTAGCTAACCCCCCACAAAAACATAGCTACCTTCCCGGATGGCTTCCAGATACCCCTCCGGGTCGAAATTCCGTTAAAAATCTACCAAAATACCTCCCCTGATGGCTTCCAGATACCCCATGGCTGAAATCCCTTCAAAACTACCTAAATTCCTTCCCGATGGCTTCAGATACCCCCCATGGCTGAAACTCCCTTCAAAATTACCCAAATACCTTCCTGATGGCTTCCAGATACCCCCCCATGGCTGAAATCCCTTCAAAACTACATCAAATCCCTTCCCGATGGCTTCAGATACTCCCCATGGCTGAAATCCCCTTCAAAAACTAAATCACCGAAATACCCTCCTGATGGCTTCAGATACCCCCATGGCTGAAATCCCTTCAAAACTACCTAAATACCTTCCCTGATGGCTTCAGATATCCCCATGGCTGAAATCCCCTTCAAAAACTACCTAAATACCCCTTGATTGCTTCAGATACCCCCATGGCTGAAATCCCTCTTCAAAAACTACTTAGATACCTCCCTGATGGCTTCCAGAGATACCCCCCATGGCTGAAATCCCTTCAAAAACTACCTAAATCCCTCCCTGATGGCTTCAGATACCCCCCATGGCTGAAATCCCCTTCAAAAACTACCTAAATACCTTCCTGATGGCTTCAGATACCCCCCATGGCTGAAATCCCCTTCAAAAACCACCCAAATCCCTTCCCGGATGGCTTCCAGATACCCCCATGGCTGAAATCCCTCCAAAAACCACCTAAATCCCTTCCCGATGGCTTCAGATACCCCCATTACTAGAAATCCCTTCAAAAACTACCTAAATCCCTTCCCGATGGCTTCCAGATACCCCCATGTATTAGAAATCCTTCAAAAACTACCTAAATACCTTCCTGATGGTCACAGATACCCCCCATGGCTGAAATCCCCTTCAAAAACCACACCAAATCCCTTCCCGATGGCTTCAGATACCCCCCATGGCTGAAACCCCTTCACAAACTACCTAAATACCTCCTGATGGCTTCAGATACCCCCATGGCTGAAATCCCTTCAAAAACTACCTAAATCCCTTCCCGATGGCTTCAGATACCCCCATGGATGAAATCCCCTTCAAAAACTACCTCAATACCTTCCTGATGGCTTTAGATACCTAAATAATTTAAATAATTAATTAACATAATTAAAAAGTATTAAAAGTATTAAAGTAACCCAAAAGGCATCTGGGCGCGGAAGGGGCCTGGGGAAGAGGGGCGAAGAGAAAGGGGCGTGGCCTCCCGGGGAGAGGGGCCCCCACTGGTTGTAATAAGGCGCTACTTTCAAAGTTAGTTAATTTTAATAATTTAAACAAAAACTTTTTCGTAATTTTTTATCAGTTTGGGGTTTCTGACCACGCCTCTATCCGAACTGAAGAGAGCTCAAGCTTCCAGCTCCTTTCCCCTTCGAGTCGAATCCGGGACACGACGGACAGACAGACACCACTACTTTTTTATTATAGCTGAT